GGGGTGTAAGGGGACTGCTGCAAGTCCAGCCGCAGGCCGACAAGGTGTCTGTGCGTCTGCTGTCACTGCGGTCAAGATCCGGCCAATTGCCTCGGCAGTTTCGATACACTGCTAGAATTATAATCTTTTCCCGACATTTTCGAAACAGAACTAGTTTTTGAGAAACATATTTTTCTCAATGTTGGAAATGCTCTGCTATTTTATTAAAACAAACAACACAGAGTTTGCTGATCCAAACGCACTCATCATACAGGATGCCGCTCTTGAGAAGGTGGCAATGACATTGTGGATGTGAGGTGCGTGCACGGCCGCTTACAAGTATTATGATAATGCGTGGGAGAAAGTGGTACGGACTGCGCTTACCCTGTCAAAATACGCGCAGCATGAATATGTATGACGGACACCCGTCAATTTATACAGTTTTTCGTTTAGCAGAGCTGTCGCTTTTTTCTCCGTTTGGTCTCTGTACTACGGTGAGCGGGTGGTCTGCGAGGTGAGGACCGCGCATTGGCCAGCTCATAAACTCCCGCTGCGCTGCTAGCCCGCCCCGCGCACCCAGCGCATAATAAACGGACGAGGTCAGGAAGAAAGAAGAATGGGAAAGGAAATCAACGGCGGAAAAACTTTTGCTTTCCGTTCTTATATTCCATCTCGCTCATCGCGGCAAGAAGAAGAAGGTCCCCGACGACGTGATGGGCGACGTGATAACGAGCTAAATTGATTTGGCGAGTGTAATTGGAGTCAGGCCGTTCTGTCTGGCGCGCACGTTGCGGGATGTAACATCGTTACGCAACGGCCAAGGCTCCGCTATCAAGGGCGGCGCATCGCATCATCCTTCCTTCATTACGAAGTCAGCCGCTGCAGCGTTATCGCTCGCTCGCCATTAGCGGCGGGCGCAGGGGCGACACACGTCTCACTCAGCCTCTTCTCCTCTGAATGCGCGGCGCACCAAAAGCACAGGTGACATGGTGTGGTTGTGATTTATGCCACTGTCGCGCCCCGCCGTTAAACGGTATTGTTTTCTCACCGTAAACCCTGGAGTGAGGGACGTTTCTGGATCGAAAGTGAGTGCGACAATTTTGCCTCACCTCGTCCAGGAAGACCTTTAAGTCTCGTTGATCCATATTTTTGCCATGCACACATACCATGCTCCGAATTCTCACACTCTAAGGAAGTGAGATTCTCACACCTCACCCAATTGTCACGAGGAACTTCACTCTCATTGGGTGAGGACCCGTGAATTATGATTCAACTTAGTGAGCAAAATAATCTTGCTCTGAGGGCGGCAATGTTAGGAATTAGCATTTACATTGTTTGTTAACATTCGGCAATTCACAATCCAATGATTAATAATCACGTAACCATTAATTTTTCTATACGTCATCAGGAATTTAATGGTGCCAGCCAAAACGCATGGCATTCAAATTTGCCTTGGATTGAATTTTAATGAAGCCTCGATTTCGAGAAGACATGTTTGAAGAATATTTTTTAATGGAATTGAAGGTGGCCACGGTGAATTTTTATGGGAGACTTCAGTGCATTGAGTACTCACGTTGCACTCGGGTGTTGTTGGAACGCAGGCGGCGGTAGTCGCGGTCCCAGGTCTCCAGCGGCGCGCGGTACTCGGGGCTGTCGGAGGCGGCGGCTTGCAGGCGGCCCGGGGGCGGCGCCGCCGAGGACAACGGCGTGGAGGCCGTGGACGACGTGGACGACGTGGAGGACACCGTCTTCTTGGCCGGCCGCGTCGGCCGCGCGGGCTGCACGGGCTGGATGGGAACGTAGCCCTCAGGGTCGGCGACGAACACCACCTGGGAACCAGAGAAGGCATCAGAGAAGGAGCCAAATCATCTTCAGCTCCGTGCAAGAATCCGTCCGCAAACCTTCAATACGACTGTTAAATTTTGGCATTTTCAAACCGACAGAAATTATGGACGCATTCTTTACACAAATTGACCCATGTACACGGTAATTGAGCATCAAAGACAGCCAAACCATTCAAAAAAACCGCACCCACCCCTCACAGAAAAGAATCTTAACATTTAATTTGCGCGGCTGTGCTCGTCGCGCACGTATAGGTTGTCCACGTAGGGCTGCACGTGGTGGGCGGCAGATGGCGCTCAAGGCTGGCGGATAAGGCGGACAGATGAACTGGAGTGCGCCACTGCGGCCAGGCTCCGGACCGCCCCGCAGCACGTCGCGCAAAGTATTTGAACTTGCGCGCGCAGGGCAGGTCCAGGCCGTTCATTGCCCCTTTGGCGGGAGGCTGTGAGCCTGCTCTCAAATCAACGAGCTTAAAACGATAAACCGCAAAAAATCCAAGAAGAAGTATATCCAGGACACCCATCGTAAATATTGCTACATATAAGCTGATTATCCTCCCCCATTCAACTATAGTACAATATTCAATTGACCAAATCCCATGTCCCAATTTACAGTCTAGGTGAGAACATTAGGACTTCAAAATAAAGGCTTCTCATCAATAACGACTAAAGACACTCCTATAACACAAAAATCCTTCTCACTCTGGAATCTCAGGTAGACAGTCTCACACTAAATGCTGTGTGGCAAAATACCTTACACCAAACTGCGTGAGGTAAACGAACCTCACACCAAATGATGTGAGAAAAACATACCTCACACCAAGTTGTGTGAGGTAGGTTTGCCTCGCACCATTTGGTGTGAGACTGCCTCACACCCGAGTTTCTAGAGCATTCGACTCATGCCAACATGTTCTTGTGGGACGGAAATAATTTACTCATTACAAAAACTGTTTTCTTCCTTGTCTTTTTTTTCGGACAAAATTGTCACAAAGTCAGGGGGTGAAGCATTGGACGGCGAGCGTGGCGGGCTGCGCGTCAAAGACAACCGGGTGTGCGGGGGAGGAAGGTG